GGAGGCAGCAGGGCCATTTCAAATGGGTTTATCGAGTCTAGAGGAGGGGAAAATGTGAGAAAGTAACTCTAGCTTAACTTTATAAGTCATGCACAATTACTTTGGTAGACTTTCAAGATTATGTTACATTACTCTAATAACAGGGTGGTGTGGTGGCTCTGTGGTTAATATGCTGGACTTGTCACCTGAAAAACTGGCATCCCAAGTTCGACACCCAAGGGTTGATGGTGCGCTCCCATTCTCACCCAGATTCTACCAACAGTTTGAAAGCATGCAAACATGAGAAGATAAATAGGTACCACTTTGGTGAGAAGGTAACAGCATTCCATGACATCATACTGGCCATATGACCTCAGAAATGTCTTTGGACAGTGCTGGCTCAATGGTTTTGAAACAGAGATGAGCACCATCCCCTAGAGCTGGCAATGACTAGCGGAATAAAATCCACAAGAACTCCTTTACCTTACCCTAATAACAATAAAGATATTTCAAGAAATCTAGTTTTCTTTTCCTTGATGCATTTGCCCTGCATGACTTGATGGGAATAAAATAAATGAAAAACTAAGTCAGATGGTTTGTGGAGGATGCTAATTTTATTCTCAATACAACTGAAATGGACCATTATGCAGATTTAAATAGTTGCTGATTAAACACTGGTTTAGAATCACATGTCATTATTATAATGAAAACTATTTTAACCAATGACAGCATGTTTTAAGCCAGAAAAGAGTATTTGAATCAAATTCTACATATTTAACAGAAGCATGAAAATGAAAAATATACAAGAACTAACTGTAATCAAGTGAAGACAAAAAGAGAAAGCATCCAAGGATGAGATGATTGCATAGTGTCACCGATGCAAACCCCCCACAAATTTGGGAAATTCAAACAGTGGAGGATAGGGAGGGCCTGGTGTGCTATACTCTATGGCAGTGGTTCTCAACCTTCCCAATGCCGCGACCCTTTAATTCAGTTCCTCATGTTGTGGTGACCTCCCAACCATTAAATTAATTCCGTTGCTACTTCATAACTGTAATTTTGCTACTGTTATGAATTGTTAAGCGTGATTCACTTAACAACAGTGTTACTAACTTAACTTGCAGTGATTCACTTGACAGATGTGGCAAGAAAAATGGTAAAATGGGACAAAACCCACAACAAACTTCTCACTTAGCAATATAAATGTTGGGCTCAAGTGTGGCCTGGTAAGTCAAGGACTACCTGTATGTTAGGCTTGAACAAAAACAGGCCAAGAGGCGAAAGGTCTCCATTTGGCCCTATTCCAGCAGGACAACATTTGCTTCTTAAGGAAGACAGAGAAATCCCCGCCGGATCTCTCACCAGTAGGGCAGCTCAGTCGGGTCTGCTGACTGTCGCTCTTTCAAGGGCACCAGAGGGCAGTGCCCAACCCCGGACTTCCTTCGCTGCTCCCAGGAAGCTGCGGGCTGGGCCATAAGGACAAGGCACCCGCAGGGTTGTCGGAGAGTGAAGCTGGCTGTCACTCGACATGCTGCCTGGTTCATTTTCCCGCCTCTTACCAGGCCCAGGAAAGCGGCGTAAATAGCAGCCGAAATGCACACTTCAGTGCCCGCCGGGAAGCCACCATCAGCTTTCCCACGCCAAGGTTGCCCCCTGCCCAGCTTCTTCACCCGTTGCCATCAGCCACCTTTACGACTGGCTGAAGGGTGAGCAGTGCCGAGCTTCCAGGCAGCGACTCTCCAGTGGCCACATCCTCCCAGTGGTGTCCCCAAGGACTCCTGCGTCTTCTTGCGCTCCCTCCTCTTCTTCCAACCGTGCAACGTGGACCTGCTTTTTCGTGGCCCCTGCCGCCATTTGTCTACTACACCCGAGGGCCGCTGCTGCAGAACCAGGCAGGCAACACGTGACCAACTAATCCCAGAGCCGGCGGCATCATGGCAGGCGAAAGGAGCGCCTTAAGACCACACTTCCCAGAAAGCACCAGAAACCAGCTGTTTACAATGCGGAGGGTGTCGCTGCAAAATGCCTCCCTTTCCACACTGAGGTTGACGAATGCTCCCATTGGCTAATATCATGTGAATTAATTCCCCTCTCCAGTTATTGACTTTAGGCCCTAGAGGTCTTAGGCAACCCCTGTGAAAGGGTCATTCGACCCCCCAAAGGGGTCACAACCCACAGATTGAGAACCACTGCTCTATGGGGTTGCGCACAGTCAAACACAACTTAGTGGCTGAACAACAATAAAAACTGTAGTCAGCATTGTATTTTAATCCTATAACTAAAAGCACTTCCAAAAACAGCCATCTTGACAATCCCTTCTAATGCTATACTGATCTTGCAATTAAGGATAGGTTGTTTAAAATAAAGTCTTAAACCAAATCTGGCATCAGCATGACATCATCTAGACAAACTTGACTTGATCAAAAGGTAAAAAAAGCTAACCTGCTTAATACTTAGATGGGGATTATTTGAGAAACCCAAGAAAGTTGGCATAAAATAGGATATTAAAACAAAATCTAGGAAAGAAGAATAGCAATTCTTGGCATCACAGTGCCAAGAAAATTGAAAGGATGCAGGTAGATGAAGTTGATTTGATAACTTTAACTTTTAATCAAAATTCATCTGTTCAGATAGTTTACATTCATTGTGCTTTGCTCTTGGCTAAATAGTGCAAAGGGGAGGAATTACCCTTCATTCTCTCTTGAAATATTTAGTTGTAGTTAATATAGTTGAAAACAGAGTGAATATACATGCTACAGATGTGAACTAAATACATATTCCATCTCCTGCACAAAAATAATGTATAGGATTATTCCCTATTTTATGGATAAGCAAGGATAATTTCATATCTCTTGAGCCTACTGATGCTTGTTCTCAAGCAGGAAGAGAAAATAACATTCTCGGCTTGGTGCTGAAGGGATTAAAGTTCTTCCTTGAAGGATCAAGCAGAGCACTCTGTCTTCCAAGAAACTTTGAGCTATAGCAGTGGGGGTAAAGACTTTGATCTCTGCCTGCTGCTGAACAGGGAATGGCAGAATACTCTTACTCTGACCTCCCTTTGCAGCACAAATTTCCAGGAAGTGAATGGAAGCCGTCAAATGATCTATGATCCTCTGATCAGGCCTACACCATGTCTGTTTCCTGATCTGTCAGTACTTATGTTACACTATGCCATGTCTTGCTTTAACTATGGTTTGCTGATTAATTCACAATTTGCTGGATATACACACACCAATACGTCTAAAAGAAAAAATATATTTTGCATTGCTAGATTGGTTGAAGAGAAACATCATTTTATAAATAAATAGCACATATCTTGATTTGTAATTTTTTTAAAATCTCCAGATGTTTCATGTGATAAAAGCACACACACACACATGGAAGTTAAACATTTTACAGTATTTTCTAATTTATCATGTTTTAGAATTAGATGCTAGAAAATCCAGTGACCAGACTACTCTAAATCAGCATTCTCCAACATAATATCTTACAGGTGGACAATTCAACTCCCATAAGTGGCATTGATTGCTTTTGGGGAGTAGTGATTGACAATGATGAGACATCATAACTCATTTGGAAAAGGAAAGCTGCTCTGATATTACTTTATCTTATCCATAGAACCTTCAATGTTACATACTGCAAGATATTTAAAAAAAACCTCCCCACATGGCTGCTTTTGGATGAGTCCCGGTGCACCTATCCCTATTCCAACATCCACCTTTCAGAACTTACTCTCACTTGAGTCTAACAGATGCACACTTTCCTATAATTCTCAATCCAATGAAGAGGACCACTTCATTACCACTGCCACAAATTGTTCTCATCATAAAGTCTCCCATCTATTCTTCCTCCAATCCAATCCACTGTGATATCATTCAGAACCAGTTTTTGTTGTTCACTTTTATGTCTCTTCCACTTTCACCAACTTCCTTTTAGCTGTTCATCTGCATGATAAACTAGAACAACTGTCACATTGGCCATTATTCTTCTGACCCTGTGGATATGGTTGGTCACTGAAAGTTTTCCTTTTAATGGATCCCAGTGCTGCCACTGCAAATGATGTTTTGCAATGACATAATGCCTATCAACAGATTAATGGCTTTTTCAGCTTCCTGCTTCCAAAACTCACAAACACTAGTAACTTCCAGATCTCCCAAGGCAGTGGGACAGATTATTAGCTTCTTCTATAAAATTCTTTACTCAGGTAATCCAGTTTTCCAACTCTCTCTTGTTCTCCTCTGTCACCATTCTATTTCAGAACCCTGCTCATTTAAACATTTTCAATTCTCTAACCCATATGACCCAACCCCCCAAAAATATTTCCCTTTCTTTATTCAAATTACTCTCACCTCTCACCTGAATATATCTCACCTCCACTCAGTGTCACCTTAACTAAGATACAAAGCATAAATAATACCAATTCAAGTGTTTTTAGGGCTCAACTGTGCAACAACTCACATTTTTGTACATTATTATCTCTAAAATTGAAAAGGAAGCACAGCATATTTTCAGCTGAAAGTATTCCTAATGGAAATTTCAAGGTAACTGATTTGGCTAAGATTATTGGCTTGCGCTGGATCCTTGCCAAGTGGATACAAAGGCATATATCTTTCTTATTTTTAATTGTCCTTTTGTTATAATATATTTCTAATATTAGTAAGTATAAAGCTTCACCTAGTTTAGGACCTCAGCATGTCTTAATCTAGACCTGCGTGAAATCCAACATACTGTACTTCTATAACGCTAGGATAGAGAAGGCTGGAGGGCTGGAACCTCTTGGCGGGAGGGCTTAAGTTATAAATTGGTTTATGGATGCTAAACGTGACTGCGATGGCTGTTCGTTAGTTATATTTTTCATTGCACATACGATAAGAAACACTGAACTGAAAAAGACATCTAGCAATCACGTTTTAAGTTATGTCAGACGCTCCAGCAACGCTGTTCCATCCGCTGTTCGCCATTCCATCATTAGACCTTCATTCCTCATTTAAAGCCACCAATCTATCACCCCATTTACCTACCTTCATACCCTGATTTTTCGAGCGGTCGTCTCCACGGCGATCATTTGGCTGCTTGGAAACATTCGCCTCCAGGGAGTATTTCCGTGCAGCTGTTTCCGCGTCGCTTGCCCGACTGTTGCTGCAACCACAGGCTCCCTGATCCCCGGGCTTCCCTTCTTCTTTACTATCCTCCAAGCACTCTGCGGACCACAAACACAGAAGCCAGCAAGCGTAAACCACTCGAAGCAAAGTATGCCTGGGCGCAGCCATATTGTAAAGAAAGTCACGTGAAAGAAGTCAGCTGATTAGTTTCCTCCTCCTACCGGTTCTTCTCCGAAAAAAATATATATATTTCGGAATTTTCCTTCCAGCGCGCGAAGTTGCTTGACGGCAGGAAAATCCGGGCACCTGTTTGTTTTTTACTAAATCACTTTATAAACTGAAATTTAGGATTAATTCTATTTTGGAGAAAGATCCTTCGGTTCCCAGGCTTTAGGAAGTGAAAGGAATATAAGGCAGAAAATACAAGTGTTTAAACGAGTTACTAGGTATATAGTGCTATTGGGATTAAGAGCTCCTGGAATAGGGTTTTTTAAAATCGTATTTCAATACGCGGAGGTGTTTGTCTTCCACCGCATCTGGTCAGTGACAATGTCTAACCTAGTAACAAGACAGTCCCAAAATTGAAGAACCTATAAAATGAAATAAAGGGCAAAGATGATGTGCCCACAGAAGATAGGAAGAATTTTTTGAAACTCTTTAGCAAATCATAAAAGGTGAAAATAAATACTTGCAAATCAGTGGAAATCATACACTGGCTATCATTAATGTAATCTTAAATATTATAGACTGTACAGCTTTGGGGGGGGATATGGGGCCTTGAAACCCAATAAATAATTACATTGCATTGAGAAGATTTTAAATGAATGGGCCAAACTCTCATCTGTGATTTTTTAAAATTTTGCTGACTAAATTCTTAAGAAATGAAAGTATGCCCTTCTTTTGCTAAGCTATATTTTTCCTAAGAGCTTCTGAACTGCTGCATTTGTTTTAATTTAATCCAGTTTTGGAATGCAGCATTAAATTCCATTGCATACAATCATATGAGCCCAATTTTGGAAGATTTCCTATGTAAGGGGTAAAATCAATGTGGCACATACAAATATATTTATTTAAGCCTCAAGTTTCCAACTTTAAAAAATCCCTGTAGCTAAATAGTGTACATATTTTTTATTTTAAAAAAGTGTCCTAGCATAGTTTATTCCTTGTATTGTAGTCCTAGGGATAAACATATGCAATTTGCAGATCACATTAAGCCAAAAAGATAGCATTTGTCTGTCACGTGTGATTGATTGATTATGTGCTGTCAAGTCAGTGTGGACTCAAGCAATCATTGTGCTGCTTCATTATGGTGCTGGAGGACGGGATGTTCCTGGGAAGGAGGAGCGAAGAATTCTAGGACTCAAAGTCCTCAAAAGAATTCTAGGACTCAAAAGGAATCTATCATGGTTACCCAAAGATCATCCCAGTTAAAGCAATATAGGACCTAAACTGGCGAATTATCACATCCAGCAGTTTCATGTAAGTGTTGAAAAGGAGGAGGGGGGAAGAATAGAATTCTAGGGCATGCCACAAAGGAGAAACCTACCAACACCAACTGTACCTGGCCCTTGAGACAAGAAGAGTGTTAAATACTAGCAACTGTTATAATGGTTTCCACCAAGGTCCTCTGTTCCAGTAGGAACAGAGGATTAATCTCATTGGTCGAAGGGTCTGACAGCTCCCTATAAAAGGGCTGCTGTCAGACTGAACCTTCGCTGGATTGTACATACTTGTTCTGTTACAATAAAGAGCTGTTGTGCCTAAACGTGAGTGTGCCTTTCCATTACCTGATCTAACACTGGTGACGAAGGTGGGATTGGAAGGCAACTAGGTGAACCAAAAAGAGCGTAGCAATCCAGCAAGTAAATCCAGCCCGGAGCTCATTGTGGCTTCGAGTATCCATTTTTGAGCAGCAAACTCAGAACACAAAATGGCCATGCACGCCCCACCCACTCCTGACCCAGTCACCAAACACTGAGAATCGTATATGCTGAGGTTCGACTGCTTCCTCAAAGCCAATGACCTCATGGGTCTTTCTGAAGGCCTCAAGAAGAACATGTTCCTGGGTTACTGTGGACGGAAAGTGTTCAAAACAGCCAAAGACCTATCTGAGCCAAAGCCGCTACAATCGGTCGCTTGGTCAGTGCTCCAACAGACGCTGGGACACACTACTCTCCCAAGCCGTCTAAGTACGTCCGCTGGCATGAATTTAATATTTGCAATCAGAAAGAGGGTGAATCAATCAATGAGTATGTTGTGGTACTAAGGAAGGCCACAGCATACTGCGAGTTGAATTTAATATTTGCAATTAGAAAGAGGGTGAATCTATCAATGAGTATGTTGTGGCACTAAGGAAGGCCACAGCATACTGTGAGTTCCGTGACCTAGGTGAACTTATTCTAGACCGCATCATATGCGGTGTGCGGGACATTTAATTTACATTAAAGAGAACCACTATAACACAGAACCCGCAATCCCCAACCCATGGAGCTGGCTCAAAAGGATATTGTGGTCAATGCTATCTAAAGCCACTAAAGAGAACAAGGACCACCATCTCAACTCTGCAGGTGATCAAAAGGCATGATCAAAGCGGTTGCAATATTAAACTCTACTTTGAAACCTAATGGAAACAGGTCTAGATAATCTGCTCCAGGACATTCATCAGATACAATTAAACCATCAGATGCATAGAATACCTAGATAGCATGGGTAAATTCTCAAATGGAAGCTTTACTATATATACTTGTACTCTTCTTATTAGAGTTAACAGAAGGCTGATCTTACTCATTATGCTAAAATACTGTAAAGGTTGAGCCTGATGAGGCTGAAATCTCCCATTTTTATGCCAGACAAAGTTGCTTTATAAACAAAGAACAGATGGCAGAAACTTTTAAGGGCAGGAAATGAATATCCATATAGTTGTTGACTCCAGAGGGCAGGAGAAAGAGATAATGGATTGAAATATTGGGATCAATGTGTTGACTTCTTGCTGATGTTAGATGGAGAACATATATACCACATACATTTTCCTAATTCTCAGCAATAAATTTTGGAGCAAAAGAATATGGAACAAAGAGAGCATCTAATCACTACACTAGGTATAAAATCTTTCCAATATTGACTTTGGTCCATATTTACAGAATTATTTGGGCTGAGGAGACATAATCAGTGCACGTTGAATTGTGCTAGTCTGTCAGAGCGCTGACAGATGAGCACAATTCAAAGCACATTGACTACCTTTATGTCTCGAATGGTGACGAAATGTTTGCAACCAAATTGCCAAGCTCGAAGCTCAGCCCAACAGTCCAACTAGCAACCTGAGCTACATATATTGAAATACATTTCAATTACAGAATTATATTTCTCTGAGTTAAAACAACATGCTAAACTCCACACAAGCAAACCACATGTTTTAAATATGAACCAAACACTTTCAGTGGTATATAAATAATATATGCTTTTACCTTAGATATTAAAACTTAAGTTTTATTAACCTTTGTACACTTAAATAACAAGTAAAATAAAAAAAAAGTCATTGGGTAATAGGTCCCTTGGAAACTGAACTAATAAACAAATGTATTCCAAATAAAATTGCTCGGTTTACTAACAGACTTAAATATCAATATCAAGCATGTTGTAGAAATCTTCAAATGTATAATACTATGTTTAAGATCAGCTGGTTCTCTTCGGATAAATTCCTTATTATAGTTTTTTAAATTAAAAATTAATTACCGATAACATATAGTCTCTGTATCAGTAGAATGAGTCTGTGCCCTGGGAACAATTTTTGATGATAAAAATAGTTAATGGCTGCAACTTAGTGCTTTATTTATTTTTCAACTTATTTGCCACACCCAACAATTCTGGGTAGTTTTATTTGATGGTATCGCCATCTTCCTAGACAGAAGACAAAGTTATGGTAAAAGAGATCGGAGGGAGGTAGAAGTTAAATTCAAATTTATGTCTTATCAAACAAAAGGTGTCTTTTATAGAGAAGGCAGTCGTTTTATGAGACCAGCTAGGCCATTTCTCTAAAATTTTATATGTGTTCACCTCAAACATTGCCTATCCCTTTTTCTGTGTATATAATAAACACACGGTAAAGGAGAACAAAGTGAGGTTACACATCTCTTTCACTGGGGGAAAAACATCTGAAGAGAGGAAGAAAAGCAATCCTTAACCTTACTGAACAAATATTTCTAAGACACCATGATGAAATTTAATTTTCTGGCTATGTACTTGTTCACTGACTGTGCAAAAGTGCTGGGAACTGTACCAGGAAATATTTTTTTTAAACAGAGGGATATCTTGAAATCAAAGCATAATTTTGCCTTGCATCAGGATAAGATTGTGATTGACACTTGTTTTTCTTTTTTAATTAAGCAACAGAGAAGGGCTCTGAGAATAATCAGCATGCAAATAAGAATCCTCATATAGGTATGCATCAAAAATTATTGCTCATTAAAATTTAATTATTAATATGATGTCTTGCTTATTAACTGAGAAAAATTGATATACAACAATTTTTATTTTAAAAACCAATATATTTAATATTTGGGATAAATGGCTTCAAATAGATTGAATTTAACAATTTTTTTTGTTGTATTAGTGCAGTGGTCCCCAACCCCCGGTCCGCGGACCGGTGCTGGGCCGTGGAGTACCTGGCACCGGGCCGCGCAGCGGCCGGGGGCCATGATCGCTACAGCTACTACACCACCTCCGCCCCCTCCCCGAGTCAGCCGTCCCTTCAGTGAACACCTCCACCTCTTACTCATTTCTCGCATCCGTCGGCTCGCCTGGAAGCGAGGCGAGGAGGGGGCGCACCATGCACTGGAAGCGGAGCCCTTGGAGGCCCTGGCAGCTTCCCCGGTCGTTGCTGGCCGCTCTCTTCTTTTTCTCGCTGTCCTCCTCGTTCCTCTACTTCATCTATGTGGCGCTTCCCCGCCCGGCCTTGGCTTGTGAGAAGGAACGGCGGGAGAGGTAGAGAGAGAGAGAGAGAGAGAACGTCGGGCAGCCGAGGGCGGGGGGGGTCTTTTGAGGGGAGATGGGGGGTGCANTCATTCTTACTTTTCAAATCTATGTGCACATCTACATATCAGGGTACAATAATGAAATGTTGAAACTGGAAAAGATCCAGGTCTACTTTCAACCACAGAAGTTCTCTGGATGACTTCGAACCA